GGGGCCCTACGGGCGCCTCTACTGCGTCTCCGAGGCCTGCGCCCGCTTCCGCGAGTTGAACAAGGGGCGCGGTGCCGCTACAGGGGCTGCAAGCGAACCAAATGCTCGCGGTCTGGCCGACAGCCGCGCAGCCATTCCGTCGAGCCCGGCCGCGGCGTCGATCAGAGGCTGGCGAGCGATCGCCTGGAGGGCGCGCGGAGGTGGCCCGAGAGCGCGCCGCCCGTGCCCGAGTGGAGCGTCCTCGACGGGAACTGCTTCCACCTCGACGACTTGCCCACGGCCTACGAGCAAGACGAGAGCCCCTGCCTCCTGGAGTTCTGAGACCTGGACCTCGAGCTCGCCCACCGACGAGCAGATGGACATGCTCAGAACGCCAGATGAGTGGATCAAGGATGCCCAGTTCCCGCACGCCCCCGAGAACCGATTCAATCTGGCACGAACCTGCGCGCGCTTGAGCAGGTGGGCGCCCAAGTTCTCGGGCCAGTTCCTGGGCGAGCTGCAGCGCAAGTGGCAGCGCGCGAAGGCCGAGACTGGCGGCGGGGCCTCGCGCGAGCGCCTGGGCCGAGGCGCGGCCCGGGCGAAGCTCGCAGACAGGGCGCCGAAGGCCAGGGCGAGCGTCTCCCAGAAGTTCAAGGCCAAAGCGCAAACGGAGAAGAACACTAAAAAGGAAGCGAAGGCCAAGGCGAAAACATGCCTCGAGGCTTGCGAGGGCCCCCCCTGGCACGGCAATGTGGCCCGCGTCGCCGAGGAGGGGGTGCGCGAGGGCAGGCGCGGCAGAGTGCGGGACGTCTTGCGAGTCCTGGGCACCGAGGACGCGCGCCGCCTGCGCGTCCACGAGGCGGAGACCGCGGCGACCTCCCAGATCGACAGCGGCCAGGCCCGGAGGCTCACAGGCACAGGTTAGCTCCCGCTCCCGTGTGCTTCCGCCCGAGGCGGCGGGGGCAAGTGGAAGCTGGCGGAAACGGCGGAAGTGACGGCGGAAGCGGCGGAAGTTGGCGGAAAGCTGGCGGCGGAAGCGACGGCGGGAGCTTGCAGCCGCGAAGCGGAAGCAGGCGGAAGCTAACGAGTGCCTGTGAATCCCGAGCGCCACTTCACGATCGAGCAGCACTACAAGTTTCCCAAGCCGCACGAGCTCGACTGGCGCCAGACCAAACTGGCTCGCCGCGCCGAGCCCCGCCAGATCGTCAACGGCGACGCCCCCGAGCTGGGCGCAGTGCGCGCGCTGCTGGGCGAGATCAAGGCGCGCGCGGTCGTCCCTGAGACCGTTCTGGCGGTCGAGCCCACGGCGGCCGTCGCCCGGGCTCGAGAGGGCCAGGGCGAGGGCGAACCCGCCGCCCAGCAGCCCGAGGGGCAGAACCGCTGCGCCGAGAGTCGAAAGCCGATCACGTTTTGATCTGCGTGCGCTCCGAGGCGCCCGCGCGCTACACCTACCTCGAGGTCGGCGGTTGCTACAGTTGCCCCCGCCCCAAGGTGCCCCCTTGTTTCTGTTCCGTTTCGGAGCGAATCCTGGGGGCACCCTGGGCAGAGGGCATTTGTAGCAACGCCCGCAAGGGTCTCCGGGATCGGCGGGGGCGTCGCGGCGGAGCGCCGCGACTTCCTCATGCAGCCCTTTAAGAACGCCAAGCAGGCCTAAAGGGCACATGCGAACTCACGCCTGCGCCCTGGGACTTCTGCGCGCGCGTGTGCGTGCGCGCGCGTGTGTGCGTGGGTGGGTGGGGGTGGTGGCGTGTGTGTGTGTGTGTGTGTGTGTGTGTGTGTGTGTGTGTGTGTGTGTGTGTGTGTGTGTGTGTGTGGTGTGTGTGTGCGTGCGTGCGTGTGTGTGTGTTGTGTGGCGTGGGGGGGGGGGGGGGGGGCGTGTGCGCGCGTGCGCGTGTTGTGTGTGGGTGGTGGGGGTGGGGGGGGGGGGGGGGGGGTAGGGTTCACTTTGCTCGGGAGCTGCCGAACGAAGTGAACCCCGCCCTCCCCCCCCCCCCCCCCCGAAATCAATCGCGCGCGCGCGCGTGTGTGTGCGTGTGTGTGTGTGTGTGTGTGTGTGTGTGTGTGTTGTGTGTGTGTGTGTGTGTGTGTGTGTGTGTGTGTGTGGTGTGTGGTGTGTGTGTGCGGGTGTCCGTGTGTGTGGTGCGTTGTGCGTGTGTGTGTGTGTGCGTGTGTGCGTTTGTGTGTGCCTGCTGTGTGTGTGTGTGTGCGTTTGTGTGTGTATGTGTGTGTGCGCGTGCGCGTGCGTGTGTGCGCGCGTGTGTGTGTGTTTGTGCGTGTGTGTGTGTGTGTGTGAGTGTGTGTGTGTGCGCGTGTGTGTGTGCGTGTGTGTTGTGTGTGCGTGCGTGTGTGTGTGTGTGCGCGCGTGCGTGCGTGCGTGCGTGTGCGTGTGTGTGTGTGTGTGTCTGTGTGTCTGCGTGTCTGTGTGTGTGCGTGTGTGCGCGTGTGTTTCGGGGGATTGGGGGGGTAGGTTCGCGCGCGGTCTCCTAAGGCAGCCACGAGGGCCCTCCGCGCGCTCGGCGCCATTGGCCCTGGCGAGACCTGCCCTGCGAGGAGCGACGAGATGTTCCAGGGCGACGCTTGGCCCCGCGGCCTGCGGGCGAGACTCTGGATCGAGCGCGCCCCGCGCGAGATCCGAGGCGAGGGCCGCCGAGCGCCCGCGAGCATGAACGCGACGCGCGCTCGAGGCAACGAGTGGATCAACAAGCTCCAGGAGGCCAGCGACAGCGACTCGGCCAAGGCAAAGGCCAAGGCCAAGAGCGAGGCAAAGTCCAAGCCGTTCAAGGGCCCCGCGGCGGTCGAGCCGAAGCGCGCCACCCTCGAGGAGGCAAGCGCTGCCGCCCAGGCGTGCGCCAACCTCCCCCCGTGCAAGGGCGGCTCCACAGGGTGCCGAGCCTGCGTGGGCGAGTCTTTCGAGGTCGTGCGCAAGGGGGGGTTCTTCCTCGGCCAGGAGCGCCGAGGACCTCTCTCGCGCTGGCCATTTGTAGCCACGAGACTCGACCTAGATATGGATATGTCGCGTCAGTTGCGCGCCGAGATTTACGAGGTCAGTCTACACGAGCGCCCAGGATCATCATCATCATCATCATCATCATCATCACCATCATCATCATCATCGCCATCACCCGCCGGGAGAATCATTGATTATCCCCGGCAGACCCGGGGGATTTTAATCGGGCGCGCAGGGTTACTCGCGCTGGCGGGTGAATATCGCCGCGCCTTTGCCGCGCGCCTGGTCCACGAGCACTTCGCAGCCGCTCGGCGCGCTGCGGGGGAGCTTGGACCGCGGTGGACGCGAAGGAGCACAAGGTTGCGAACATGAGCAGCCAGGAGCAAGAGGTCCTCGCTTTCATCAAGCAGTGCCGGGACATGAGAGACAGGCGATACCCTCTCTTCGTCGCGTCGGATTCGGGCGTTCACCACGTACCGGATACCTGCCGATTCGTCGACCTGCCGATCTTCAAATGGAAGGCAGGGCGCGGCTGGATTTTCGGTTTGTCCGGCTTTTCCAGCGCGGGGCTTGCATTTCCATATCTGACACGCAGGAGTTGCATGCCGACCGCTGCGCGCTAATACCGACTTCGCGTCAATGTTCATACGGGCTGATTCGGATCTCTCGCCGGCAGCTTGACGATGCTGCCTGCTCCTCCTCCCTCTCCCTTTCTTAGCCTCCGTTCACACATGTCGGCCAACTTCTGGACATGCATAAAGATGGTAACTCGACCATGGTCGAAAAATGCCATTGGGATGGGGGCCGTAAGGCGGGGTCGACAACAGGCGGAGGAACGAAAAAACACGAGATCGTGTAATGGCGCGCGCTCGATGAGAAAAAGAGGGGAGGGCGGCCGGGCAGCTACGGAAGCTTGCGAAAGGCTGACGTTGACGAGCAAGGGTAGCGAGCAGCGCCCAATGATCGACTTTCTCTAGCTTCTACATAGTGGATCTGGGACAGATTGTGTCAGTTTTCCTGATTGCTTTTCGAAGTGGTTCCTCCTGCTGGTTCGTCGATCGTCCCTTTCCGCTCCTCCCGCCCTTCCTGCTCCTTCTGGGCCTTTGGCCTCCCCTCCCATCCTCTGGGACTGTCCCTGGCTGGGGGCGTTTGGGAATCAGGCGAGCCTGGCGTCCGCTTGCGGGCGGATGTTGGAAGGGACGAAGGGAGCCCCGGCGGCGGGACGAAGGGAACCCTGGGCCTGCCCGCTCCTGGGCGGAACCCGGGGCCCCTCACCCCCCTGCCGCGCCCCCTGCCGCACCCCCCTGCCGGGTTACGGTCGCTCCTAAGTAAAAAACGTCTCCACAATTACCAGCCGATTTTGAGAGAGAATTGTCTAATCAGTTTAATGTTTTCTTCTTCGAGCGATGCGGTGTGGCAGAAAAAAAGGAATGCATTACTCGCTCCTCCACCACTCCCTCCTTCCTCTTCCTCCTTCGTTCGCCTGCTTCTCCTCCTCCTACTGTTTCTCTTTCCTCCCCCTGCGTATCCCCATGCCAAGGCCTGGGACCAGGTGATCCAGTACACGTGGGGCGGACCCAAGAGCACTGGCCGCTGGGTGACGCCCGCGCAGTATTGGAAGGCTAGGGTGCATTATCCAGTTGCGTTGCCGCGCAGGGCAAGAAGTGGGAATGAGAAGACGGGAGGAGGAGGAGGAGGAGGAGGAGGAGGAGGAGGAGGAGGAGGAGGAGGAGGAGGAGGAGGAAGAGGAAATGATTCAGCCATTGGTCGCTTGAGTCTGGGCGAGATAAGGAGAAAGAGAATACTTCGAAAAGAAGGAGGTAGGAATATAGGAGGAAGTGGTGTAGGTGCACTGATTTATCAGTCGCGCCAGCACCCGAAGCGTGGTGTGGATTCGCTAGGGTCGAAGAAGCCAAGACGTTTGTGGGTAGCAGTGTGGCCCTGGGAAGTGTGGCGACTGCGCCCAGTTTGCCGAAAGCCCACTCATGAGTGGCGCTCCGCGGACTCTGACTTTTCTGTCGATTACCTGTTCGTGGACTCCAATGTGTTCAATGCTTGGGAGCCTCATTACGACATGGAGCACAACTTGTGCGGGCTGGAACACAACGTTCAGGGCGCCACCTGCGGCCCCATGGGGCCGACGTCCGTCTACGATTGCCCGAACTGGTTCAAGAAACTCTGGAACGACCAGGCGTTGAGCGTCTCTGTGTATGTGCCTGTGTGCGTTTGCGTGGGTCGTTGTGACCATCTAACGAGTGACGGTATGATAGGGGAGTCAACGACAGAGCCATTGTGCCGCGCGATTTACGTGTCGTGTTGTTTGTTCTCGAATTAATTCGCATTGCTTGTCCTCATCGTGCTCGTCTTGCGGCCAATATGTGTATACACATATATATATATATATATATATATATATATATATATGTCAGGAGAGGGAAAAACACACAGGCACCATTAATCGTCGATCCCCCAGAAAATATAGGAAAATTATGGGACCTGGGCGGGAAGACAAACACCCAGAACATATGGAAACTATGGGGACATATTCTATTTGTGCGTATTTTTTGTGTGTCCTGGGGCCACTTCAATATGGGTAGGCCGGGGGGGGGGGGGCAACATCGGTGCCGTCATCCCCCATCGCCGCCCGATAGGGCAAGCGGGCCGTACAGATGGTCAAGAACGCCTGAAGAGGCCCCGAAGACGCTCAAGAACGCCCCAAGAGGGCCCGTGTGGGCCCCAAGAGGGCCTTCAAGAGGCAAACATCGGCCCATTTCCTTTGTAAAACGTACATGTTTGGCATACTCGCTGGCTTCGTCTTCACAGTGCCCCAGACGCCCCCGAGGAGCCCCAACACAGCCCAAGAGAGACCCAAGAGGGCCCCAGGCGGCCCAAATGGGTCGTCCCGTGGGGCTCACGGAACCCTCCGAGACGGCCCAAGAGGCCCCAAAGCCGGCCCAGGAGGCCCCCAAGACGGCCTCAGGCCTAAGAGGGCCTCGGGGGGGCGGGCCGTTGTTTGTTCCCCCCATCGGTGCCCACCAGGGGTTGCGGGGGGGGTCCAGAGCTCCCGAGGCGGCCCGAGCCCGCCCCGAAGCAGGCCACGACAGGCTAAGGGGGTCCCGAGAGGGCCCAAGACGGTCCCACGAGGCCCCGAAGACGCCCAAGATGCCCTCAAGACAGCCGACGAGGACTGCAACACGCTCCAGGACGGACTCAAGAGGCTCCCCAAGAGGGCCCTGGAAGGCAAGATGCACTCGTGTTCGGAGTGTTTTGGATTTTGGCGTTCTCGCTTTTCCTGCTTTCCAACGCTCCCTTCACGGCCTCGGAGACCCTTCAGATCGCTCCAAGAAGGCCCATGAGGCCCCGTCGAGGGTCCCAAGACGGCCCAGGATGCTCCCCAGACAATCCAAGTGTGCCCCAAGAGCGCGCCAAGAGAAGGCCCAGAGAGGTCCCGAGGCGGCCTGGGCCCGCCCCGAAGCAGGCCACGACAGGCTAATGGAGGTCCCGAGAGGGCCCAAGACGGTCCCACGAGGCCCCGAAGACGCCCAAGCTGCCCTCAAGACGGCCGACGAGGACTCCAACACGCTCCAGGACGGACTCAAGAGGCTCCCCAAGAGGGCCCTGGAAGGCAAGATTCATTCACTTTCCTATGGATTTTGAAAGATTTTGGCGTTCTCGCTTTCCCCGCTTCCCAGCGCTCCCTTCACGGCCTCGCTCGGAGGCCCTTCAGATCGCTCCAAGACGGGCCACGAGGCCCCGAAGAGGGCCCCAAGACGGCCCAGGAGGCTCCCCAGACAACCCAACTGTGCCCAAAGAGCTCCCCAAGATGAGGCCCAGAGGGGGACCGCCAACCGATATTTCGAGGTCTCTGGCCCTAGAGGCCGCTTGTAGGCCCCCGGAGGCCACCAAGTGTGAATGGAACCCGCATAATACCATCATATATACTCCTTATCCTTACCTCTCCTGCGCCTGGCCGTTTGGGCCCAGGTATTGAGATAGATCGATCAGACCTTGATCGTGCGGGAGGGAAAGATATCCATCTATCCCTCCTTCTCTCTACCAACGGATCAGGGGTTCTGTACCCTTGTACTTCAACCCCATACACAGGTTATCAGCCCTTTAAAGCTCACCCTCACCGACTCGCCCGCGGTGACCTCGCATGCGAGCCTGATGGAGCCACTTCGGCGCATGCGCCGCAAGGGTTCCATCGGGGCCTTCGCGTCCGAGCTCTCCCACGGCACGACGGCTCGGTGACGAGTTGGAGAGCATTAATGCGGACTGTGTTGGTGTTCCTGATACCCCCCCCCCCCCCCCCCAGCTCCGAAGGGCCCGAGGCGCGACTAGCTGCTGAACTTCACCGCAGCGCCGCCCGCGGGGGGACAGGAGAAGGAGTAGGAACAGGAAGGAAGGAGTTTCACACGCCGACCTTCGATCCTCCCTCCCCTTCCCCGTCGGGAGCAATCCCAACCGCGTCAGGCGAAAGCCTTACTGGTCTCGATACTCCAGGGCGCTTTCGCGCTAACCGCCGATGGACCTCAGGCGCTGGGACCCCCAGCCCTGCGACCGCCCCTGTGGCGGAGCACGTAGCCACCTTCGAGGAACTCAGTAGACCAGCGTCGGCACAGCCACAGACGCGGTGCCCCAAGGTATCATCGGATGAGACACCGCACACACATGGTCCGAGTCGCAGCTCGTCCGCGCGCAACCGCCGTGGAGCCCCAGGCCCATGCGGCGAAAGTAGGTCGAGCCCGCGCACTGCCTCTCAGAGGCCATGCACTCCCCGCGACAGGGGACACAGGGAAGCTGAAGCTCCCCACCTCTCCATCTAAGACGACCAGCTGGCGGAGACGTCCGCCGCAGGTGACATAGCTGAGCTCAGAGACCAGGTTGAAACCTTCGTGCCCAGCCAATACTCTGGACTTCTGCAGAGCGTTCAGACGAACGCCACCGATACTGCAGCCATACACCGCGATCTTGACGGCGCCTTAGGGATCATCGATTCCAGGATCGCCGAAGACCGACGCATCATTGGAGAACTGCAGCGCCAGGTTGATCGTGAGGTGTCACACTCAAGTGAACGAACGGCGATGGTCGAGAACCTGCGCAACTATCTCGCGCAGATGGAGCAACAGCTTGTGCTCGTACGCGACACAGGCGTTTCCGCAGTCAGGATTTTACACGATGAGATCCACGACCAGCTCCGCAACCGACCAATCCCAGCCGAGGCCACAGACCTTGGCGACGTTCAGTCTCAGATCAATGATCTTCGATCTTATCTAGAACGCACTACGGCGATGCTTCGTACCGAAGCACACGCCAACTCGTCGAACCTGATCGACATGTTGCAGCGTACTGAGAGAGTCATCACTCAAAGGCTTGATGCGACCAACGCTGTCGTGCAGCCACTCGCGAACCGGATCTCTGACATAGAGCAGCGTTTTCCTGGTGTACAGGACGCCCTGGCAGAGTTGCGTGTCGGACGAGCCCAGACTGATCAGCTGGATTCTCCTCCCACGGTTCACGATTTCGCCCGCCTCAGTGACAGGTTGCAGGAGGTTCAGAAGGCGGCGGACCACGCGCAGTTGGAGCTCTCCCAGGTTATTCATGAAAGAGATACTGAGAAGGTACGTGCAGAGAGTTACCTCGCACGTCTGGAAAGCGAGATGGAGGCGCAAAGCGCCCGTCTCCGAGCACGCGAGCATCGACTTGATCGGTATTCACAACGTTCTCGGGATACTGATGAGTACACACGCCAAAAGGTGGGTCAAATACACGAAGATATGACGAGCTGGACGAATCAGCTGATCGACCACACTAACGACACCAACCTCCACCTTCGACATGCGGCCGACCCGCGCAGGCCGACGGCAGCGTCCGCCGAAGCACCACAAGCTTCCGCAGGACAACAACGACGCACGTCACCAGGAGCAGCCTCCGCGGCAGCTTCTGCACAGACACGTCATGTGTCTCCTGTGCGCACAGAACCAACCACCGACGGTGCACCGATACCCTCACAACCATTGTCTGCGGTGTCGGTCCATACAACGACTCCTATCAAGGAGTCAGACACCGTCCGAGTGCCTGTCTTGCCTAAGATCACGCAGCTGCTGGAATGGCAGCAACAAGTACGGAAGAACTTCGGGGCCGCCTCAGGGCGACCATCCAAAGCATACGCCTTCCTACGCGTGGCAGAACAGCCCGAATGTACATTCGAGGATTTACAAGACAGTGGAGACTTTGAGAGTATCGATTGCAAACTCGCTTCCGCTCTGAGCGACATCTTATCTTCAGACTTACGCTACCAAATCAGGCTCATTGAGACTAAAGAGCACAAAGCCGGACGCATGCTCAAAGGACGCCAGATCTACTGGCACATCCTACAGTCTTACAAAGTGACAGGAGTTGACGACGACCTGCACGATTTCGAGCGCCTTAAAGAACTGAGGATGAGAGATGACGATTTGCAACGTTTCATTACCGATTGGGACGCCTTGCTCTTGGAATGCCGAGAAGTACCCGATCCAAAGACATTGGAATCGCTATTTCGTACACAGATTCGTAGACATGTATGGATGAAACAAGACATGTACGAGTACCAGCGCATGAAGATGAGCAACCCAAATCGTACCTACGGTTGGCTTCGACAGCGTGTCCTGGACATACTGGAGATTAAACAATTGGAGAAGAATCAAAGCAAGTTACGGTACGAACATGAGACACGATCTCAGGTCAACGCGCGCGCTGCATGGAAGAAAGGCAATTGTCGCAACGGTGAACGGTGCAAGGCTTTGCATACATATTCCAGGGATTGGAAGAACAACAAATCTTCCAGAACATCAACGGCCGGTGGCAACCCCCGCCGCAGTATGTCCACTCCTGCGAACCATAAAAAGCCAGCATCGAAACCATTATGCTTCGATTTCGCCAAGCGCAACACATGTACCAGAGGTGATAAGTGCAACTTCCCACACGTCGCACAGTGCAAAGATTTCGCACAGAACAAGTGCACAAAAGGCGACACATGCAAATACGCTCATCTTGCACCTGGTGCAAAGACTCCTGAACGAAGCCCGAGTCGACCACGGACCTCCAGCCAGGATAGCCGTGGCCGATCACCATCCCGCGGATCAGGAAGCCAACGGTCTTCACAACGCGGGGGGTTTCGCTGCGCAAGCGATTCACGACAGGGACGTG